AGATACCATGGAGGGCTCATTGGATCCCTACTCCCCTCTCCCCCTTTGTCCCCCCCCCCTCTTGCCCCCCGCCCCCCAACAAACCACAGGGGCACGGCAGAGTTCCACCAAGCACCCAAAAAATACAAACTCACAAACTCTTCTATTCCAAATTCTGGGTACCTCAAACCACAGGTCCATAACATTACGCCAGATCGCAACTCTTATCATCCCCAGCGTTGGGGTGCCCAATTTTGCCCGTCATTTTGCCAATTTTTCCCGCAAAAAATCACTTCAACACATTCCTCCCCTCCTCACCCCCACACGAAGGGTCTTACTTACCCGTCAGAAGGGGAATCACTCTCCCGGCCGGAACTCCCTCTACAGGCTCAAGTCTGCTACTGCCGTAAAGCACGTCCATTTTTTCAGCACTACAACAGCCTGTAACCTCTAGGGGCAGTACAATCAATCACAGGCACTTAAAGGGGAAGATAGATATATATATATATATATATATATATATATATATATATATATATATATTGTTGAAATATCTGTGGTATACTTATGCAAGGGTGTTGCATTAAATCTGCAGATCTGCGGTCAGGATAAAAATTTTAAGGTTTTCCAAGACTAAGACAAATACAAGGGGTTAGTTCCTGGCCGGCAGCCACTCGTTACCTTAGCAGCTATCCTAAAAGGTAGGTGTCAGTCTAACCTCCGCCATAACTACAGGCTCACCTACGCACTACCTGCCTCATCAGTCAGGCATTCAGAAGGTCATAGACAAACACAGTGCCACGCTCAGCACTCCGAGCCACCACCAGGCCACATTACAATAATACATAATAACCTCGACAGTGGCACAACGGTCCAACACAGGGATATACAGTTATGTTAGAGATGGTTAATTATATTATCTAGTGCATTAATTGTTGGTGATATTCAGATTGAAGTAAGCTACAAACAGTACTTTTGACAATTGAGAGGTGTTCCTCTGCGCTATGTTATGTTGCTAATTATGCCAATATTTTTGTCAATTTTGTCATACAGGTATACTTTCGTGGTCATAGATCCTAGTTACAACACAAGAAGTGTTTTAACTGGTACGGGTATTTTGTATCAAGTTCTCAAGTCCTTATCTTGTGGTTAGCATGGCCTTGTGTCTATCCCACACATGCTTAAACTACTTTACTGTGTTAACCTCTACCACTTCAGCTGGAAGGCTATTCCATACATCCATTACCCTAGACAGACTTGGATCATTAGATCCTACAGTATATGTGACATACCAGAATAATCTTTACATCATACAAAGGCATTGGTAGTTGACCTTCAGGTACGCTAACAATATGATTGAGGAGGATTTTCAGCAGCGGCATGTCACTACGAACTCGTATGTACCCAATGCCTTCCATTCTGTCATCCATAATCTGGTATAGGCCTCCCCCTTAGCAGAATCTCAGACTACTGCAAAACACGAGCATACATTGTTCATACAGGTACGTGGCTCCCGGTTCTTTAAACTTGGATTTAATATAAGATTTCCTTCCATAGAGGCGAGCTGATAGGGCCACCTAGGTAATTCTCCCAGGCACTTCATGCCTTAGAGATAGAGGTCCTGCAAGGCCAACACCCATCCTCCACGAAAGAGGTAACAAAGCCCCATGGGCCAAATTCATAGCTAGACGCCTCGCATGTTGCATAGCAAGGGAATCACTCATCACACCCCCTCCGCAGATCAAAGACTCATCCCTTGTAAGCCCACGTCCAGCAGATCAACCCCTCACGCCAACCATAGGTAGAGCCGACCCAGCCGCTTGGCAACCAGTACGGACTCACCGGTCACCAGTCTAACAAATTGTTTCGCCACTTTGGCACTAGTTAAAACATCTGTATACACCCTCAAGAGGAACTTATGATTCCTATATATATATATATATATATATATATATTTCAGTATGTCCCAAGTTCCAGAAGAAGGAGATTACATTTCTATTCCAAGTACGCCAACCAGGACTGCCGTCCCTACAAAAAAAAAAAAAAAAAGAGACTCCAGCTTCTATTTAATCGGGGACCATCCCACGAATCACGGCCAAATTATGCAGGGGGGCAACATACCCTTTACAGCTACTGCGAGTAAAGCAGAACTATTCAGGCTAATGCAAGACAATACTAACAAATCAGACACGGGGGGAAAGCACAAGTGGCACGAGCAATGCCAACCTGTGTACCAGGATCACCACTATAGTAATATCCATGAGGCAGATTAATGTAGCTGTCCAGTCGTGACACCAGAAACCACTAGCAACTGATATTCCGGGCCCTCCCCATTCCCAACCCGGTTATGCTAATACACCCAACATCGTAGGGCCCTTAAGTCATTACCCCAACCATTTGGTACAGGCAAAACAAAAGACATCCTGGAGGGCAAGGACGTTAATCTCGTCTCACTTCTCATTGCCTCCCAGGATGTCACAGAGTACCGCTCATACACCTGGGGCGATATCTCAGTGGTCCTTAAGGCCAGAGACACAAGACTGGAAATTATTCATCAGTATAGTTATAACCTTCCTGGTCTTGTGTCAGTACAGACACTACTACATTACACATATCTCGGCCCATATTCTTGGCAATTGTGTCCTGTACGTTTACCCTCAGGTCATTGGACTCGGTAGGTATATAGTATAATTAGTCATGGCATGTCAGCACCTCTATCATGTTCCCCGTATAGCCCCTACAACAATCATGTGTTACGCTGAAAGTTGCTGTACGATTGTACGATATCAGTAGGACCATATTTTAAATTATGGCTACGCTGTCATAACCAGTAACTTTCAACTGATGTATAACTTAAAATAAACCACTAACCCCCGACTCATTAAATTCCAATCAGACTTACGTTACCTTCCCGTACCACCGGAACTACATTGGACCGATCTCAACTTCTTATGCATAGTCCTTACACAAACCATCTATGGGCCTTGGCAACATAATTCAGGCAACCTTAGTGGACAAATACATCTTATTTGCAACCCCTCATTTGGGCACTAAGTTCACATATCAGCTGGATAGGAATGTATGCATAAGTGCAGCTATCTTACAGCTTTCTACCTGTAAATCAACCACGTCGTGTAGTATTATACTTCTGCTTATCTGGCACTGTCCACATATGGCCACACAGTTGTTCTCCTCACGACCAGGGCCGGCGCTTCCTATAAGGCGAACTAGGCAGCTGCCTAGGGCGCCATATAGGAGGGGGCGCCCTGCGCCACCATCGCTGGCCCTTTAAATTCTGCAGCTGCCTGAGCGCTCTATAGAGAGCGCTCAGGCGGCTGCCGCAGTGCCTCACCTCCCCTGCCCTGTAGCGTGGCCGAGTTCCTTTCTGGTCTGCGACCCGGCGGGACTGACAGGAAGTGCACACTCACTCACTGAGTGTGCACTTCTTGTCAGTCCCACCAGGTCGCGGACCGGAAAGGAGCTCGGCCACGCTACAGGGCAGGGGAGGTGAGGAGATGCTGTTGGGGGATCATTTGATGGGAGGGAGGGAGATGATTTGATGGGAGGGAGGGAGAGATGATTTGATGGGAGGGAGGGGGATTATTTGATGGGATAGAGATGATTGAGGGGAGATGATTTGATGGGAGGGGGGATTTTGATGGGATGGGGGAGATGATTGAGGGGGGAGATGATGGGAGGGAAGGAGGGGAGATGATTGGGGGAGAAGAAGATGCAGGGGGAGAAGAAGTGTGATTACAGGGAGGGGGGAGAAGAAAAGATTACAGGGGGGAGAAGAAGAGAACACAGGGAGGCGGGGGAATAAGAGGAAAACACGGGGGGTGGGAGATGAGAACGTAGGGGAGGGAGAGACCACTAAGGGAGGGGTGTGAGGAGAGACCGCTAAGGGAGGGGGGTGGAGGATAGACCACTAGGGGAGGGTGGGGGGAGAGGAGAGACCACTAATGGAAAGTCGGGGAGAAAAGGAGACCACTAAGGGGTAGGGGAGATCTCTAAGGAATGGAAGGGAGAGCTCTATAGGACAGGGAGCTCTTTCACACCACGCGCACACACACACACACACACACACACAATGCATCCCTATACACACAGAAACACAACATGCTTCCCTTACACACAGAGAAACACACAATGCAACCCTTACACATAAAGACAATGCAACATCCTTTGCACATATACACAGAAACACACAATGCATCCCTTACACACACATGCAAACACACACTGCTTCTCTTACACACACACAGAAACACAATGCATCTCTTACACACACTCAATGCAAACACACAATGCATCCTTTGCACATATACACAGAAACACACAATGCATCCCTTACACACACACACACTGCTTCTCTTACACACACACACAGAAACACAATGCATCTCTTACACACACTCAACGCACCCCTTACAGACACACACACTGCATCCCTTACATACACAGAAACACACTTTGCATCCCTTATGCATACAAACAGATTCACACAATGCATCCCTTACACACAACAAGAAACACACAATACATCCCTTATACACACACACACACTGCTTCCACTACACACAAACACACTGCATCACCTACACAAACTGGTATCCCTATACACTACATTCCGTAAGCACACACATTAGATCCTCTACAGTAACACATAACAAATCCCCTACACACTCTACTCCCTGTGAGTTCATGGGTGGAACATGTAGGTGGACTTATGGGTGGGCTTTATGGGCTGTGATAAAGTGAAGGCAGATAGGCCTTTTAACCCCAGGGGGAGTATGTGTAGTTTGTGTTTTGCACAACACAACGCATTGTTTAGTTATGGGCCCCTGGGGTGGAGCATTTGGAGAGAAGGGTGGGCCAATGCTCCACTCCACAGTTTAGTGGTTTTCTGGGGAGACATAGATCCAGGCCAGGGTTTTTTGGACTGTCTCCAACCCACTGCACAGCTGCAGTTAATGAGCTGTTGCAGTGGGAATAAACTCCTCCCTGCTAGACAGGTAGAGAGGGATTGCTGGCTTCCTCCCAGGAAGCAGGTAGGAGAGAGGCTGATCTCTCCAGATAGAGTCAAAGAGACTAGGCACTGGGAGTGCAGAAAGGAAGCAGTCAAGGCTTGCTTGGAGGCACTGGGAGTGCGGAAAGGAAAGCAGTCAGGGCAAGGCTGGCTTGGAGCACTGGGAGTGCAGAAAGGAAAGCAGTCAGGGCAAAGCTGGCTTGGAGCACTGGGAGTGCAGAAAGGAAAGCAACAGGTTAGATAGCAGAGTGTTGCTATCTAAAAGGTTGGTGCAATATTGTTTAGTGTAACCCTGAGAGATAGGGAAACTTATGTCAGTTAGTGCTCAGACGAGCTAGGTTTTTGTTTATAGGGTTTTCTGTTACATTTATGTTTTCATTTAACTGCTGTATCCTGTGTGAACTTACAAATAAAGTGCCTGGAGTATTTGCAACTACAAGGACTGTGCATGTTTTTGCCTTAGAGGACCGTGCTACCTGGTGACAAGGATCACAGGGCATACTCACCGTCAGGCCCTGGGGCCCAGACCTTGAGCTATGTAAGAGGCCCCAAAAAATGGAGCTGCTTCCCGTTCTCCCAGAACATTGAATTTTGTGACCACAGTTACAATCAGCCTCCAGAGATCCTGTTCTACACCAGACCAGTGGAGCCAGACTGCAGCCAGAGCCCATCACCATCCTCATCTGATTGTAAGTAGGCAATCTAGTATATTATTAGTGACACTAATCTCTAATTTACCTCACATTAAATGGACACTATAGTCCCCAGAACCACTGCAGCTTAATAAAGTTGTTCTGGTGTCTATAGTTTGTCCCTGCAGGCTTTTTAATGTAAACACACACTGTGTGCAGCACTGGCATTAGTTCATATGGGTGGGGCATTGCGATGTTCCGGGGGGAGATACGGCCTTTCCCAGCATCTAGGCTGTTAAGTAATTCCAGCTTACAGGGGCAACCATGACCTTATCATACCATGGCCAATTTATTCACAACCACACTCTTTATACGTTACATACGACCCCCCAAAAGGGCTATCCACTATAGCATAATGGCAGCCCCTCATTTGGGCTATTACATACGGCATAGGAATTACAGTTTTGACATAAGTTTACAATTTTGTCACATCCTACCACAGCATGTCTCTATACGTGGCCCTCACTAGGCCATCACTCTCACGTTACATACGACCCACTGCGAGCAATTCACTATGACTCAATTTCGTCTCACAGGTGGGTAATTACATACGACCATGGTCACGTTAGACCACTCAAATACTCCCTATACGGCCTTTCTCGGCAATTACAACTCCAGTCACAGACACTTACGTGCTCTCCAATATTAGTTCCCGCTGGTAAACTAGAAATTTCCCACATAGTTCTTATATATTTCAGGTTCTTTAGTGGAAGGACGCTCAGCAGGAACTCACCTAGGCACAATCTATTTAGGTGTCTTTTCCATATACATATACATCTCTTTAAACTAGGGTCATCCCCAATGCATCGGCTTACACAGGGCTTGCTACAACCTCAGGAGACAGTTGGCTATGAAGTAGGTGGAAGACGAAGTAAGCCAGATTGAAAGGTTCCATAAGTACTCGGCACGCTTCAAGGTATATTCCATCATAGCCACAGCAGCAACATGAGGTCATTCATGGACAAGCAGACCGGTTCAAGGTCTCTGACAATTTGTAAATTGGCCACGTCATAAACCAGTCTGGTCTGGTATCCCTTATTATGAATTCATCAGACGGCTAACGGAGGGGAAGCCTGTCACCAATTTTATCTGGTATGTTACCACGTACCAGGCACTTACAATACAGCTGCTGACCAGTTATCTAGTCTTTAGTTTCAGGCATTCAGGAGGTCCCTAACAACTGCCTCACCTATGGCCACGATCGCTCCCCAACTGCAAGAATTACCTATGGAATAGTAAAGTGGCTAAGTCACAACAGGAATTCACACAGTTGGCCCTCAAAGAATACGTACACTGCATGACAGAGCTTACTGCATATATCAAAGGTCATGTCAGACCACCACCTTACAAACTGGTTCAAGAATACAACGTTGGGGGACTTTTGCCTTTTTTTGCCACATCAAAACAAATGTCACACAACACCATTAAGTTATATCTTCCGGGCATTCAATACCACATGTTTTCAGTTACAAACACCATGCTCAAACCGCCATATACTTGGCTTTCATGGTTTCACACAACCAGAGAATTTACCATCATAGGGCAACACGATTCCAAGCTTTGCCTACAGTATTCTAAACCTGTACACATACAGGATCACTACGTATTAACTTACCATCAACCAGAGGAGTCACGAGGTACTTACTCAGTACAAACTCACCAACAACGCATACCTCAGCCAATACAGAAATTAAGGAATGCATTTGTGTAATGTCACCGTAATACGCTAACTCCATGTCTTGTGTTTTCGTAATAAACATCTTTGATTACACTATATGGGTATTCCTTTTTGCCCACTTATTTACAGGCCTACCACACGCGTCGGTTTCGGCACACCTCTACCGACTTTTGATTATTCTGATAAGTATACTCACTAGCTATTTCATACTATACAGGAATGGGCCCGACCACAAATTGGAAGGCAGGGCCTGAAGTTGTGGGAGGGGCTATGTCCCTTTAAAAGGGATTCCCCCTCCTACCTAACTTACCTACTGGTCCAGACGCACTTCTGGCCCACCCTCCTCTCCCTCTATGCAATACTCTATTCATTGAATAGATATTAAACTAATATATATATATATAGTATTTCAGTATTTTCAAGGACCTTATTAGTAGAAACAGGGGCAGTAAAATCTGCATGTAATTAAAAGTTAATTGATACTATGTTAACTTATCTACTTATAAGTAAGGAAGCACCAGTAAGACTGTCTTGTATCAACAATTTGTATTATAGGATGGATTTATTACTTCAAATAGAGCATATATGGTAACTATTTTTTTGTCTAGAGTAAAAATTTGCCCCATAAGGACCCCAAATGAGTGGCTCACCACTTGTACTATATTCATTTTGCAAGGTTGAGCCACAGCTCAGAAATGAAGCTCTTTTTTAAGTGACAGGGTGTCCTGTAGAGTTGAAGGACCTTCTTTTTGGTTGCACCATTCACTGATACCGAGGACCTTTAAGAAACCTCACTGGTCTGAGAGTGAAAAATGTCTGCAAAAGCCAGGCATGTGATTCACAAATACCTTTGTAAAGGTAGTATTTGGAGGCAGCACAGGCAGAGGGGTCGATACCTGCCTAGAAGGAGGAGGATTTTGTGCTTGATACCTATCTGGAAAGAGGATGACAGGCAGAGGATTCATAAGCTTCTTGGAAAGTGCCAGTAGTCTCTATTAACAAAGGAGAAGGGATGTAGTGGGTCTTGATTCCAAGTTGGGGACCAGTCCATCATGTCCTCAAAACAAACATATATAGTATGTATGGGTGCACTTAAAGAGAAAGTGTTAAATTATGGTGATATAAAGCTCAAATTTAGGTCAAGCCTTGGTTCAGAAATTAGACAGTTAACTTGATGGGTTAATCTTTTCTGGTCTAAAGTGTTTATCAATAACCAGTTTGTTTTTTTATGAAGCATTTATCTGCCTCTTCTGTCTAAAAAAAAAAAGTCCATTATCTTGCAGCTTCCAGTTTCTAAGCACATCTTGAAATTTCAATAAATAAAAAATAAAACAACAAGATTTACACGGTTTGATTTAGGTGGTATTCATGGTATACTATACGATCTCAAACTACTTTTTTGAATATATTTTAACAGTCTGTTTGGCACTTCAGAACAGCATTCTAAATTAATTTGGAATCCAATTCATAACGCATCAGATAATCATCATTTTTCATAAAGTAATACAGAATATAATATTGTGAAAATTGGAAGAGACTAGGCACATAAAGCATCAAGTTAGCAATATATCTGCAATTCACAGCCAAAAATTTTCAAGGTCTGATTTATAAAAAATTATTAAAGTTATTTGCACTTTAAATTGTCTTTGAGTTAATACCGAAAAGAATGTTTTGTTATTTTTCTCAAATCAAAGTTTATAGATTTTTTTATAAATCAAACCTAGGTCAAAATTAGCAAGATTTGTTTTTCAGCAATACAAGCTATGCAAGTGGAGATATATAATCTCCAACCAAGGAGCAACAAACAAAAATTAAAACAAACAGATATAACAGAAAGAACTAATAAAATTGTGAGAATGCAAGACAAATATGACAAGCATGTGACAAGGTGTAGGACAAAGATATTAGTTACCTTAGTGCCTTCATTTTGATACAATAATACACTTGGAACCCTGTGACTATGTGTGAAGTGTCGCTCTACCTCACATTCACCTGAGGTCTATTGTGCTGCACTTGTATATTTATACTGTGCTATAATGGCAACTATAGTTAACAAGAAAGACCATAGCGCTTCAGGGTGGAACAAGTGCACACAACTAACCTGAAGGATGACATTTTTGAGCAGTTGCTCCTCTGTAATAAGGAGTTGGATCTATTCCTAGTGCTATGTTTTGGGATGTTTTGCCTGCCAAGGTGGTGCCCATGTGTTTTACTTTTTCTAGCGGTGGGAGTCTTTAAATATAGCCATAAATTCTAGTTCTTGTAAGGTTGTGATTTTCTGGCACTTCCATTTGAGAGCTATTAAATTGTTGGCTGTGAGAATCACATGCATGGCTAGTGAAAGTTGATAAAAAGGTATAGTTTTGGGGAAAAACATACACATGTTAGTGATTGCAACTAATGGAAAGGTCACTGTGCATAAGAAGTGGAGTAAATCCTAAATATATAAGCCCAAAATGGTTGAATGAGGGGACAGGCTCACCATATATGAATGGGTATGCCTATTGACTGGAGACACTTCCAACAGTTCGGGCCAACGGAAGTATAAAATTGTGTATTCTATCTGGTGTCTAGAACCACTTAAAAAAAAAAAAAAAAAAAATCTGTGGGCTTCACTGTGATTGTAGCACCAGGTAATGCCTTTCTGACCAGTCAGCAGCTTGATCAAAGCCTCCAAATCTTATTCCATCCCACAGTCCCTCTCCCACTGTAACATATAACTCTGTTTTACTCTCTTGTTGATAGCCTTTGTTTGAAAAGTTCAATAACATATGGAGAATGATTTAGGTATGGTAGGGTTGGACCAACACCTTAGATAATGTT